TAAAAATTTTAGTTAATTTTAAATTACAATAATAAGTATAATTAAATATGAAAATAACTTACCATCTATTATATTATTATTTATTTTTTTAAATAAAGAATTTAGTTGACGTTAAAATACAGTAACAAGTATAATTAAATATTGATAATCAATAAAAGTAACTTACCTTCTATTATATTATTAATTTATTTTTTTAAATAACAAGTATAATTAAATATTGATAATCAATAAAATAACTTACTTCCTAATAAAAATTTTATTTTTTTAAATAAAAAATTTAGTTAATTTTAAATTATAATAATAAATATAATTAAATACTAATAATTAATAAAAATAACTTACCATCTATTATATTATTAATTATTAATTATTTTTATAAATAAAAAATTTAGTTGACTTTAAATTATAATAACAAGTATAATTAAATACTGATAATCAATAAAAATAACTTACCAACTAATATATTATTAATTATTTTTATAAATAAAAATTTAGTTGATTTTAAATTATAATAATAAGTATATTTAATACTAATAATCAATAAAAATAACTTACTATCTATTATATTATTAATTATTTTTTAAATCAAAAATTTAGTTGACTTTAAATTATAATAACAAGTATAATTAAATACTGATAATCAATAAAAATAACTTACCATCTATTATATTATTATTATTTTTTTATATAAAAAATTTAATTGATTTTAAATTATAGTAATAAATATAAATAATACTGATAATTAATAAAAATAACTTACTATCTATTATAATATTAATTATTTTTTTTTTAAAAATAAAAATTTAGTTGATTTTGAATTACAATAACAAATATAATTTAATATTGATAATTAATAAAAATAACTTACTTACTAATAAAATTTATTTTTTTAAATAAAAGATTTAATTAACTTTAAATTACAGTAACAATATAATTAAATACCAATAATCAATAAAAATAACTTACTTCCTAATAAAATTTATTTTTTTAAATAAAAAATTTAGTTGATTTTAAATTACAGTATAATAATAATTAAATACTAATAATCAAATAAAAATAACTTACTCCCTAATAAAATTTATTTTTTTAAGTAAAAAATTTAGTTAACTTTAAATTATAGTAACAAATACTGATAATCAATAAAAATAACTTACAATCTATTATATTATTAATTATTTTTTTTAAATAAAAATTTAGTTAACTTTAAATTATGATAACAAGTATAATTATAGACTATAAATAAAATAATTTACCAGCTATAAAATTTATTTTTTTTAATAAAAAAATTTAGTTGACTTTAAATTATAGTAACAAGTATAATTAAATACTAATAATCAATAAAAATAACTTACTCTCTAATAAAATTTATTTTTTTAAATAAAAAATTTAGTTGACTTTAAATTACAGTAATAAGTATAATTAAATATTGATAATCAATAAAAAATAACTTACTATCTATAATATTATTAATTAATTTTTTAAATAAAAAACTTAGTTGAATTTAAATTATAAATATCTTACTTTCTGTAATATTATAAAGAATATTAATATTATTTATTTAAATTATAATAAATATAATAATTAAATTAATAAAAATAATTTACCAACTAAATTATTAATATTTTATTTTTAATAAAGATTTTATTTATAAATTAATAAATATCAAGTAAAATTATAATTTACCAACTAAAATATCATTAATTATCATTAAAAATTTTTATATATAAAATAAATTAAAATGCAAAAAATAAATAACTTACTCCCTATAGTATTATTGATTATTAAATATTTTTGAATAATAATTTAATTAAATTTAAATTGTATAAATTCAAAATATAATAAAAACTCAATGGTTTACAATCTAAATATTACCATCATTAAATTTTTTTTCAAAAAAATGTTAATTATTAAATAATTATATAATTAAATAATACATAAATAAAGTTTATTACCATATAATTCTTCTAATGTAGGAGTATCTGAAGCTGATTCTATTATAATATATTTATTTTCAAGAAAATTTTGAAATTAATTAATATGATTTAGCAAAATTTAATATTTGAACAATTTATAAATATTCTTTACCATTTGGTCTTTCTAATATTTGAACAATTATTGAGTATAATTTATAGATTATTATATATGTAGATTAATTATATTTGCTATTGTATTTACCTTCATCAATTGAAACTGATTCCATATTCGAATTTGATAAAATTTAATTTTAGCAAACAAAAATGAGTATTATTAACGACATTTATTACCTTCTAATAAGGAAGCGTTTTTGGCATCCGGAACTGGATCTTAACTCATTTTAGTCATACGAAGCTTAATAATTTTTATTCCTTTTTATTGTTTAGTGAAATGTTTTTAGTTTTTTTATTACACTCTTACCTTTATAATTACTATTAGACATTGTTAAAATTTATAATAAAAAAATAAGCATTTTTTTTTTAAAAAAAAAAAAATTCTTTCAACCAAATTATCTTGTATAACGATAACAGAATGCAATAGTAATACACATTGTCTGGGTATGTAGATCTTATCGTAGTATGTATGTGAAAAGTATTTGAAGCACAGCACTTTAGAAATCATGTAATTAAATAAAAATAACCAATGGTGATAATTTGAATCGGAAAAAATTTTTTGTTCTAATTTGATACAAATAATTTTTTTGGTTGTTTTCAAATTTTCTTTAAAATTAATTATCATCGCATTATGAAGATAAAAATTACAAGGCACTTTTTTGGCATAGCGATGATCATTTGTCTATCATCATCTTTTAAAATTTTATTTTTAAATTAAAAGTTCTTTAAATTATTGATTTTTTGTGCAAAGAATTTAGAATCGAACCATGAAATTTTTTTTAAAAAAAATGACAATTGCTGCGACCCGCAACGAAAAAAAATCGAACAAAAAAAAAATACCCGTTAACAATGTAATAATAAATATTAAAACCTAAAAGCTTAGCAAATAGAGATGGACGGTTGACTCGGTTCTGGAACCATTCTAAATTCAGCATAATCTGAATTTACAAAGCAATTTTTACCAATTTTAAAAATCGAACCGGAACCGGCTCCGGACTAGCCCAAAAGAGTCGGCTCAAAATCGTAATTATATACTGATAACCCGTCAAAAAAAATTTTCAACGTCACATGCTCTATTTAAATTTAACTTGACGCTCCTAGCCCCAATTTACTTTAAGAGAACCGAAGTAGAACCGAAGCGGTACCGAAATGGAACCCGTCCCCATCCCTAGCAGAAGATCAAACCGACAATTCACGAAAAGAACCTATAAACAAAATAAAAAATAATAGAAAATTAATAATCAAAAAAAAATAATGTAAAAAAGGAAACGGAGTAAAAAAAATTCTATCTATCACATACTGGAAAATAAATCTATCGCTGCAATCCGAAGTTATCAAGGACGAAAACAAACCAAACAATCGAAAACAAAAAATTCAAATTCCAAAAAAATAAATAAACAACATATCCGCGCCAACGATCTAATCCGAGCATGTTATCTAAGTTAAAAGTAATATGAGGAACAAAGAATACAATTAATTTATTATTTCTGTATCTAATCAAATTTAGGTTAAAAAAAATTTTCGAAACTAAAGTATCAATTAAATTTTTGTTATGTAAGCATAAAAGATAATAACTTACGGGTGATAGCAACTGGACTAACAAAATTGAATGTTAAATCGCACACAAAATCAACAATAAACATTTTCGCACAAAATGATTACGTTGAATTTTTTTAAAAATGTTTGTTTCATCCTAGATAAAAAATGCAATTTAATTAATCTATGATGAAGAAAAGAAATAAATAATAAGGTATCTAGTAGTATATCAAGATCAAATCAACCCAATTATACTTCATTATAATTATTTAGAGTAGATTAGTTCAAATGGATTAATTTTAAACCAAAAACTTTTGCAAAATTTAATATTTGGAATTATGTCGTGTATAATTTTTTTCCAGCCTTTCAAAATAATCTATTGTCCAGTGAGATATATTATCGAAGTTGTGAGATTTAAAAATTAAACAACTTCTAAACAAATTTTTAAAATATCTAACAAGCTATCGATTCTAGAGACACGATTTTGCTACCATCCGATGCGTCCCGTCATGAAAATTCCAATGCCATATTTCATCTTTCTACGATCGTTAGATGACGCGATAATGCGGTTTAACTTTCTTGAATTAGAACCGTCCATTTACTTTTGGCAAGTTGTTGTATAATAATAATATTATTGACTTGTTTATTTCTTTAAGTTAGTAAGTTATAACTGTCTTTGTAAATTATTTTTTGTGATCTAAAGAAGTTGCATCAAGAGGATTTCCATATCTATTGAAGTTCCGAGAAACGTTTGTAATATCTTTTAAATTATTTTTATGGAATAACTATAATCACGAGATATGAGAAGTTTCATTAGTATATGTGATCATCAATTGAAGTGATGCGATTGTATCGAGACATGGATTAACGCAAATGTTAGATAAATAGCGCATAACACTCGTTCATATGGTAAGATCAGATTGCGTTAATCGATTTCAAAAACAATATCAACCAACTTTAAAATAGTAATTTATTCTGAGAATGAATTTCAACGTCATCACATAAAACAAATTACGCAAAGTAATAATTGAGGTAATAAAATATGAGCCATTTATCATTTCAATGGACTTCAATTCGAATTTTGTTATTCACCTAGATTTACGGTAATTCTGAAAAATATTACAATGAGAGGAATTTTAATCTTTGTAAAATATCGCGATGAAATTTTGCTACTTTCAAAAAAAGATCCATTTTACAATTCGAAATATTCGAATAGGAAGGAATCTTTCGATTAAATTATTAAGCAATAGCTATCTTTGGCTTTTAATTTGTCACAAGAAAAAGTCGACTGTGCCTATATCATACAACTGAAATCATAAATAACCTGTAGAAGGATTTTTAAAATAACAACTCTGCGGATGATTTCATCCTATTCAGGATCTAGGAGAGCATTTGGAATAAATTCAAGTAGAGATTAGAACCGGATAAAACGGTTAACATGTTAACCGGTTAAAATAGATGAATTTAACTCCGGCCGAAATTCAATTTCCAGCCAGAATTAAGATTTTATGATTGCAAAAAATATTATCTGACTCCAGCCAAATTTATGGTACCGGTTATTAACTGAATAAAAAATTCTGGTCGGTTCCAACCTCTAAACTCAAGTATTAATTTAACTGGCATGAATTGATGGCATTGTTGTTGGTTGGATTATTTGCTTCGAACCTCAATACAACGATACCTTGGTTTTTCCCTATATAGAAAATATTATAGCTTTAGTTTCAAATCGAGATAATATAGATTATACAGCGGATGAACCTGTAGATTTGATATTCAACGATGTCAAGAAATTAAATGGAAAGTAAATCAAAAATTAAGAAACTCTCAAATTATGAGCTTCTTTCAGATATAAACGAAGAATTATGTTTTATAGAAATAAAAGGAATTGATAGTCATTGGAGAATTCTAGACAATAATGAATTTGCATTACTTCAACCTTTTCGTAAAGATTTCATACGAGGTACAGTATAAAAATCTATAATATGACATCATTAATGAAGATTTAAAATCTATAATTTAGATGGTGAAAAAAGCTTTACTATTGAAAATTCTTCTGGATCTAAATTACCAATGACAGTTATCGATTCATTTTTTTACCATTATACCGATCCAGCTTTATTATATAGTATATTAATTATATAGAATCGATTTATAATAATGCACAAAATTTGGAGATGTTTGAGATCGTCATAGAATACGGTTGGTTGAAGGAAAAATTCTAAACCTCAATCAAGTATAATTCTATTCTACTAGTACGTATGTTAGAGCATTTCAAAGCCATAAGAAATCTTTCTTTGAACTATATCTTTCCTATCGATCTAATTGATATGATAAGTAAGATATTATGATTTAATTATAACTGAGCCATAATTTGTCTAGAAGCAAAAATCAACAATTAATTCCTGCTTGGATGTAAAGAAGTCTTTTAAAACTTTAATAATTTTATTATCAAAGTTTAAATGAATAAATAACACCTCACTTTTTTGAAAATCGAAAATTTTTTTTTTATTTGAAAATGGTTCACAAGAAAATTATTTGGAAAATTGTAACAAGAAGCATTCAGAGATATAGAGGTGTAAAAGTATATCGATATCAATTTTAATATAGATTACAAGGAAAAAATTGATTAATAGTAAATTTCATATAAGACTAGAATATGGGGCCTTAGCAACAGAAAGGTAAAAATTAATTTATTTGTTTTATATGCCAAATATGATTTCAGGTCGGCATAAACTCATTTTATTTTTCCCGGAAAGTTTCCCCTTTCTATGCAATGGTCCCATATATTTGATTTATCATAAGATAACCTGCCATCTCGTTAAAAAGGGATTAGAATTCAAAATATTGAAATCACGTGTAAGAACAAGGCAAAAGACACTTCAGCTATCGTTGAGGATAAGAAGCTAGGCATAGAACGAATTAAGGCCAGAAGGAAAGTACAAGAAAAGGAATGTTAAGGAAGAATTAGAAAGAAAGAGAGATTCTTTTGTAAGAACTCCAATGATAGCTTACGCTTAGAAACTAGACGTTTAGCAACGCGACGTATGGATTTATAGTATAATGTCGCATATTATTTTTTCTTTTATTTACAAATAAACTTCTCTCTATAAACTCTATTTTTTCCGTTCTAAACAAATCCAAAATTCTATTCGTCCGTGTTCTATTATTAATTTGACTTTAATATTTTTAAGAGAAAAATTGAGAATTTATCTTATAAACACTAAATCATTTAAAAAAATTTTTAATATCCATTTGTCCTCTACAAAGCAAAAATCGATAATAAAAGGCATATAAAATATATAAAATAGAAATTGTATTTATTTATTAATTTTCTTTTCTTTCTCGTAAGGTTGCCTGAGAAGTCAAATTCGAAACAAGTTTTGAAATTTTTTTATTAAAGGCCAAACCACGAAAAGTTTCGACAGGTGGAAAACCAATCAAAACCTTTGATATTAAAGTAAGATTTGCAATTTCCCTCTCTAAATCAGTGATGGCAAGTGATCCAAATGACCTCAAATGACCTGGTCATTTGCCATCACTGCTCTAAATATATACGATACTTTTCTTCCGGAGTAATTTTAATACATCTTTTGGAAATCCCAGGTATATTTTAGGTCTTAATGTAATTTTAAAGAGAATTTTTCTGAAATTTATTCATTATGTCCGAATCTTGAGTAAAAATGGTAACACGAGTTTCAATTGTAAGTTTATTTTTTATCATATCTATCAGAAACGTTAAAATTATGGTAACGCTAGCACTTTTGACAAATTATTCCACGAACCGTCCCATCTTGCTATCTGACTATTACTATTCAACCATAATTGATATGCAAAAAAATGAAATGAAAACAAAAAGAAAGGTTATGACAAGTAAACAATTTCACTTTATTATTAGTCTATCTACACAAAGTTTATTAATATAATTCAAACCCTGTTAAATTTGCAAATATCGTTAAACTTGAAATCTCAAATCACAAATCGTCGAAACCATAAAACCGTCCAAATTATTTTCCCTACTCTCTCGTTAAAACCCAATACTTAACAAATTTTTTGATTCCATCCCACCTTGAATAATGAAAGAAGAGAAAATTGACCATAGTACAGATAATGCAAATAGTTATCTAACATCCAAGATATACGTTAATAATATTTGTTCTCTTAAAATATTATATATTGCCTTTGACATCTTTATCCATCTACCCTTTTTTACATTTTTTATTAATTTTTGATTATTTTAATTATTCTGATTTAAGATTATTATTGTTATTGTTTATTGTTAATTGTTAATTATATTTCTTTTAGATGATTTTTAGGCGATTTTTTTCGGGTTAAATTTTTTGGATCACCAATTTGCGGGCCGCAGCAATTATTTAATAATTTTTTTCTAAAAAAAAAAAGCTCGTCATCGTTTTTAAATTTTTTATATTCCCAGAACACCCATATATGATAAAGGATTATTTATATACATCATCGAGTCCAAAGTTCAACTTTCCATGGTATTTATGTTATCACAGAATTTTTGATGTTTTCTAGAAATTTTATTAGTTACATTTGATGTCTATTTCTTAAAAAAAAAAAATTTCTTAAAGCTAAATTTTATAAGCGTGATCTTATGCCACCGGAGTGCAGATAGAACAATTAATAACGCGCGTCTAAAGTTTTTTATATTTAGATAAATTCTTTATTTTTTTAACATTTTAAAAAAGCTATTTAAAGGATAAGATTTTAACTTTATTTTATATGATAAAAAAATACTTTAGAAAAAAAAATATATTCAAATATATTACATTGATAATAGACGAAAAAATATATTCTGTACATATATACAAAGCTTATATGTTATACTACATATGAAACAAAATCCCAAATAAATCCATAATAATAAGATTTGAATTCGAGAATTCAAAGATGATGATGTTGGACAATAAAAAAGGCATCCATCCTATTACATTAAGCCATCATCCAACGCGAAATTCTTGGGAAGTTCGTATTTCTG